GCTAGCAAGAAAAAAAAAAAAAAAAACCAAAAAAAAAAAAAAAAAAACTCTAAGCCATCTGATGAACGGACAAAAATTTTATAAACTTATTTTTACACTCGTGTAGATAACATGAATTTTTTTTTTTCTTTTTTAATAAAGCAAACAACTCTGCTTTTTTTTTAGGGGTTTTGATTAATTGATTTTAAATTGCTTGTAATCGTAGCATTCGACTTTGAACACATGTAAGTTTATAGGTAAACATGTAATTAATTGTTTATATATCTTTATACGCTCGTATGTAAATATAAATTTCTTAAGATGAGCTCTCTACGCTACCTAAAAGAGATGAATAAACCACGACAACAACAACAGTAACTCGTTTATTTTCAGAAATATTAGAAATGTCTTTATCATCAAACCATTAGGTATGTTCAGCATATCAATTAAATCTGAAAAAAGTTTCACATTGACTATGGCAATGAACGCAAATGCAATGGAGACAAGCAATAGCATTGCATAGCCTAACATAATGTTGAGATAAATTCTTGTTGTAGTATCTTCTGCTGCTGTCTAAGAAAAGGGTATGACATAGTAACAGTAACTGGAACTTAAATCTTAATTTTAGATTAATTTACCTAACAATAAACTCAATAATGATGATGCCAGCTGAGTGATAGATGAGCCGTGTCATTTAATGTTAATGTTATGACATTTGTCATGAGCGCACACAACTCAAATGAATGGCTTAGAATTTCTTTCTCTCTCTCTCTCTCTCTCTCTCTCCTTTTCATGCTCTTTCTGAGGCACATATATACAGATTATATGACATATTTTATAGTAATAAAAAGTTGCTTATTTTTGATTTGTACAATTAACGATTGGACGAGTGGACTCTTGTAACAATCATTTTGGCAAAGCATTAAAGTCTATTTCGGACTTCTTTCAATGTTAAATGATGTGAAATCTCCTTTTACAAACCTCCTAAATATTTTGAATATTTGTGTGTTTACTAAGGAGGCAATCAAGTATAAGTGTATAACACTTGTACTGTGCTGAATTATGCAAACGATAATTGACGTTGCTTCCCGGAAAAATACCAATAGTTGTTTCTCTAAATTTCCCTTGCACCAAATTGTCATATTCCATAGCAATGGGTGGGCATGGCTGATTTTATCTATTTTTGTAGAATAATTTAGTGGAAATTTATATCATATATCTGTTGTAGTTTATAACCAATGAGCAAAAGACACGGAAAGCAAAAGTGTAGACTTGTGAGCGGCGTAGGCGAATCCTTTGATCGAATCTGTTGCAAATTTGCAGGCGATATTTTAATTTCTGCAAAGGCGAGAATGTTTACAACGGATACGGACAGATAGACAGACAAACAGATGAACAGGCATACTTGCGTAGGTTCATTCAGAATTTCAAGATGGCCAAGAATTTATATACTTTTTGGGGTTTTTTGAAAGTTGCTTGTGCGCGTTATAAAAGTTTTTGAAAAAAAAAATGAAATTTTGATACGCTATAATTTTAGGTGGGCGTGTAAAAATTTCTCTTTTTTGTACAGGTTCTGCAGCATCGTTCGTAGTGAATGCGTTGAAATTATTGTACATTTATCTGCTGTCGTTTAGATGTAATGAGCAAAAAATCAATTTTTTATTACTTTTGAAGAACACAGATGTTCTCAGTTCACATAATACTGCAAGCGTGTTCTCCGATCACTTTGCCCCTTTTTCAATAGCAATCTCCACGCAAGAACTTTCGAAGTTTCTGGTAAAATGTGGGACGATAGCTTCACGTTCTCTCTAAATAGAGATTATATAGACTGATTCAGAATTGGATGCGGATTAAGAAAATATATGTATACATTGTCGGGCCTTTCAAGCTTCCTTCTGGGCGTGGCAAAAGTTTTGACATATTACATATACCCCCTCATCCTTCGGTGATCGAAGTAAAATCTCAAAAAATGCAGAAAGTGCAAAAGCCCTTTAGCAAAAAAAAAAAAAAAAAAAAACCACGGATATTTACTTGTCTAAATATCCACTTCCTACCCAAAGGAAAATTCAACAAAACCGAAAAAATTCCTTTTCAAGCAATAGTAGTATAAAATTTGCATTGTTTTCCATTAATA